TATCATTATCAAGATACGGCGTGAATATTGGATTTTTCAAAGAGCATTAAATAAGGCAGAAAGCGTAATGTTTTCAATTACATTAACGTAAGTAGAATTGAGGCTGACTGCGAATCGTAATGTTTACGGTTAGGTACTTTTTTTCTAGGAACGCGTATAGTGTTGCAGATTGTTCAAATACTAAGAAAGTTATAATCGATCGTGGACCTCCATTGTTTGATTTGTTTCCACTGCTATTATGAAATAATCTTTAATATAAAAATCCTGTGTCAAGATATTGTTTAAAATAAACTCCGACATACTTTTGATTTTTTGTACTCTATTCTCAAAATATTAAGTTTTAAATCAAGAGGAGAAATTTTGCAGTTTTATAGTGTTGCAGATTGTTCAAATACTAAGAAAGTTATAATCGATCGTGGACCTCCATTGTTTGATTTGTTTCCACTGCTATTATGAAATAATCTTTAATATAAAAATCCTGTGTCAAGATATTGTTTAAAATAAACTCCGACATACTTTTGATTTTTTGTACTCTATTCTCAAAATATTAAGTTTTAAATCAAGAGGAGAAATTTTGCAGTTTTTTAAAACGACCTTGTATTGACTGTACCTTTAGTTATTCTAAAGCGGTTCGAGGTGACCCGTAATTTCACACTTAAGGTCCTCATCCACTGCCTCAGTACGCACGCACCGACTGCACGGTACGCAACGCATTACACTGATTTGTCGATGTCATACTTCCATTGCAGTCGCATTTTTCATAGATGCTTCTATGAAAAATATGATTTTATAAGTTTTTAAAATATTATAAAGATGAAAGATGTTTTGTTTGCATTTAATATGCTCCGAAACTACTGCACCAATTGGCAAAAATATTTTATGATTATATTATACGTGATTGATTTATTTTTTAGTTTATAATTTTTGAATTTTTGTTGCATACTACAGTACTACATACTATATACTAGTTACGAAATAATTATATTTGTTTTTCGTACATACCTAATTACTTACTCATAATAACAATTACTGTGAAATCTCTCGTATCAGCGCTTGGTTACTGAATCACTAACATGTTTATCAATTATAATTACGAGAAGAAGTTAATATCAAATTTTTAGAGGTGACTTTGCATATTTTTGCCAAGAAAATATCATAAATCAGTTTTTAGTTACTTTTTCATTACAGTTTACTTGAACTATATTTGTATCATCGTTGTCACAATCAATTTGATATTAGTAATTTAATATAATTTACTTTTGATATGAGTGTTTTCTATCACCTCGAGGATACCGCGTATTGTTGCATCTCCTTCTCGCTCTCGCAAATGGCAGGTCTGAGCGACAGAATAGGATAGGGCTACGGAAAACTGCCAAAAGCAACATCGTGCTGAAGAATAGGAGATCGCACAACTGATCAAAAACTATTTTATCGTATATACGGATAAATAAATACTGATGCTTACTCCCACGAAAAATAAAATATTTTAAGTAAACAAGCCTTATTATGTATCCAAAACTATATTTTAAATTTAACTTTTTAAAAAAACCGCGTAAACGGTGACGTAACGTCTCATTTGTGGGGTCAAACATTTTCAATGAAAAAAATCAATTAGCCTATGCTGTTTTCATATTCAATTACAAAAATGACCCTTGTATACAGTTAAAAATTCAGTTATTATTAAACTCATTACCCGCGCTTTTTCTAGCTTGTTTTATTACCAGTTTTATTAACATGAAATTTATCCCTAATAATCACCTAATAATATATAAGTTACTATATGCAATTTATCCAAAAAAGGCGTCATACGCTCTGATTAGTTTGACGTGATACACAGACTACAAACATTGATGATTTGATAATTAATCTTTAAGTTTTATGATTTTTTTTAGTCAAACTGAATTAATTTTTAATTTTGTCTGATTCCTGTCAGATCTCCCATTGCAAGATGTAGGTCACCCTTACCTAAATGAAATCGGAATCTATCTCTATCTCTAGGAACATTAGGGCCTTAAATATATCTTGAGGAACATTTATGATTTTTAACGGATTTTATACAGGATTCGAAAGGTCAATGAATATAAAAAAATGTAGAAAGTACAGAACCTTTATAATTATTTTGTTTATTATATAGGTAGCGTACACAGATTATGTAAGGTATGCTAAAAAAAATTGTAAGTCCTTTAGAAGTTAAAGGATACGGATAACCATGGGTGTTCCCATTTTGCTATCGTATTGAAACCTTTTTTTTTATGTTCACATTCCATTAAATTTTTGTGAATGGCACGACGCCGCTCCGTTACCTGCTTATAGTATTTCTTTGAATGTTTTTCTTAAAAACGTCCAAACAAAGTTATTGACCAAGTTTTTTCCATTTACTGTATTTTGTGTTTTAATATGCCGACAATATAATAATATAATTGCAGTGATGATCATCGTTTTAAGGGCCCTTTCAATGGCCCAATATTATGTTTTTTTATTTATGATCCTAATTTGCATATACATTCTCACCAAAATTTTTAACAAGCCGACTTTTATTATAAATGAAACATAGAGTTATGTGGTTAAAGTGTGCACATTAAAATAATTGAAACACACGAGTGCTATCCCCTCCTCTTAGTTCTTTTGCGGAAAACAGCATTACATATTTGAAAGAATTTATATTAAAATAGGTTCAATTGGGTTTTGTTTTATAGGCACCTAAGTTATTGACGATATTGAGGTTGTATGGATAAATATCAAATCTTTCCTCTTTATAAATTACTAGTTGTTTTACCGCGACTTTGTATAGATTAGTCATGTGTTTAGTACTAATAGTTATCTATTATATTAAATATTAAAGATGTGATGTGTCATGGCTTTTATAATAATATTTATTTATTGTTTGTGCAGAATGATTATCATGTGTTGATATAAGAAATTCCAAGAGTAATGTTTCATTCAATATTCGTTGAAATCTTGTGTACAAATATGATCGTACAAAAATATGTATACAGATTGCATATAGTATTTGCATGTGATTGTTATTGTATAAAAATATAAAAACAACACGATATAAGCTTTTGATATGATCATCTTATTTTTTGTTATCTATTCTCAAAAGTAGACTTGTCTGTGTTTTACGCAGGAGATAATCTTAAGCTATTCATCTTATATCTTTATTTTCAGACAGAATTTCTCTCGACTACAAAACATATTCTGAATACTGCTCCATATCTTATAATAATTAAAATTGGATGGACTTATGTAAAGTTAGTTTTCATGGTAATATTTCAAGTATATGAATTGTGAACTTAAATCCCTTTTATAGCTTTTCCTTTTTATAGCTATCTTATTATGTGAATCTGTCAAATTCCTCCAATCCATTTCAAGCATTAGTAAGTTGGTAGAAGAATACAAACTGACTTGTAAAAGAACAAATTTCGTGGTAACCCTGATGTGCTACTGCCTGTACTTGCGTAGGTAGTTTATAAATATATCAATGACTTTCACCACTTAAAAGAGAAATGGTAGAGATAGAACAAATACGTTTCTGTCGGTAAATGTCGTTTTAAAAAATCGAATAATAAACTTATAAATTTTGTTATCTAAAAATAAGTATTATTTGAAATTGATAAGATTATGATATAAACCAATAACGCTAAAACTTAAAATATCTGGCATCAAAATAATTACTTGTACTTGCAACAAAAAAGTTTTGTAAAAAGTGTTACGAAACGACTAATGTCTAATTAGTTACTACTCGTGTTTAGAATTTAAGTTGAGATAACCTTATTGTATATTTATTGCTTGAAAGTAGGTAACTTATATTAATGTATTTTACTAAAGGTGCCCCATTAGAGTAGGAGGTAAACAATAAGATGTCAACAAACATTAGAAAACATTTGAATATTAACGCGGTAGGTCTGTTATGCTATTTTAAAACAACACCAATGTATCAACGCTAAAAAGTGTCACCCGAATCTATTCATTTTACATGATATCCATTATTTATTAAAGTATACTTGTTCCTGTTGTTTATATGTTCATTTAATAGCGTCATAATATGCGATAACCTAATATGATCTTTTAATTTAACGAATGTAACATAAGATTGATGGAGTCGACTGTCGCACTTCGCAATTTTTTTGTTTAATTATGATTCTGTTGAGATTATAATTTGTCGTATGTGATGATAATTACGTGACTATTTATGAATTTGACGTACACATCTCTGAATATTTAATAAAACATATAATTATATTAATATCGTAATCACGTTTTGTTTATTCAGTGCCATAGTATTTCATAGAGATAGTAGCACGTCTTGAGTATATAATATATATAACCTAGATTTACCTATCTAGATTTAGTATATAACCTAGAATCATTCTGTTACTATACTTAATATATCAACTTAATAGTAATGAAGTTGGTAGCAATGGATTTGATAATATTAACTTCCCGCCAAAAATTAGGACACGTGTCGCTGACAAGCCGGTATCAAATGTTAGGGATATTGAAAAGCTTCCAAGCTAATTACCGTAATTTGTGTTCATGTTGTGGGAGTAATAACTATGAATAAATGTAAAATATTCATAAAAATTACATATTTACTAACAAAAATGCGAATGTAGGAATATAAAGAAGGAGTACACTTTACACAAATTGACTTTGAGAAGCTTTTTGGACTTTGGACTCTTTTTTTCCGAAGTTAATTAAACCACTGTGGTTTTCTAAACATTATCGAAAGAACTGCAGGTTATTAATTTCCGGTAGGTAATTGAAATGTAAATTAAATTGAATAATGGAACAATGCTTCAATAGATCTGTAGAGTAGCGAAAACGTGGTTTGTATGAGTTTTAGGTTTTCAGTCAAGGAAATTTATTAGGAATATCAATATGTAATAGGAATACGTTAAAATCTCTTTTAAAACTATACCAAGTATAACGTATTCTTATCAATGTAACTAGTATAGTTATACATTTGAAAAAGTATAGGTTAGAATATATAAACTTACCACATAGTGCGGTTCCATATTCCTTCCAATGTGAACGAGTTTTCGCGGTCATTGCAGTTGGTATATTATAGATTTTTGGTTTTAAATAAGGTTACTGGGTTTTTGGAATGAGATTATCTTGAGCACTGATATATAATTTGAAAAAAAAAACTAAATAAAATAATTCAAAACCATATTGAATGGTATATTAATAATGATATATACTTACTAAAACTATCTAAATATCACAATAAACTATATTCGATTAAAATATTAAATGGGGTTTTTGAAAGAAACGTTATAACCGATTAGGCTTCATTTTGGAAGGGTTATGTGTTGTTGGCTTGCTGGTACATAGCGAGAAGACGCGTGCAGTGTAGTAGCGCGACGGCGACGAGCGAACGACTGGACTGAACACTGAACCACAGTCTGAACGTTGCGGTGATCGAATTGAAGCGAACGAACGTAAGCGGGACGGAATGAGGCAAATCGGCGCGGGCGCATGCTTTTGCTCAGAGTTTATCGCGTGGCGAGTAGCTCTTGTTGAGATAACTCAAAGGTCGATAACGCGACGCTGTCGCTGGTTTATAGGAACCGCGTCCCGCTCGACTCTTGCGCATGCTGCAGCCATCCCGACTCCCAATATCTGCCGAGACGATTATTTTTAGACATTATCAACCAAAAATAACACTGACAATCTTTCGAAGTGAACATCACGAGACTAGGCGAATATCGTCACTGATTTGTGTAGTCTTAGACTCTTAGTTCGTAGCTGATTGAGTACAAATTGGATTAAATTTTATTGCTGAAAGTTGAAGCAGCGTAGGCGTGACTGCTGATGACCCAATAACTTTCTGAAAATTCATGTTTAGGGTGCATTATCCTCAGCAAACAAATATGTTTTGTAGACAAGAGATCAAAGTTTAAAAAAATAGAATAATTGACATAATTGACGATGTTCTTTTTACCACATAACATATTTAATTTAAAAGAGCTGTCATTTAATTCGAATTTCACGGTCTTAACGTTGAAATAAGTTAAAGCTACTGCGTCACATTGTGTTTCTGGATTTGATTTCGCTTGACGTATGAAATTCTAGTTGTACGTGACAAAAAGGACCTTAAATGTGAAAATTAACTTGAAGTTTTCAAAGTAGCTGTTAAAGGGACTTGGCGCTTACTACCATTGAAGTCATATCAAATAAGGATGATGATTATTATTCTTTTTTATCTATCAGATAGATTATTGAAAAAATTGAACACGTTTTTTTTTATTTTATTATAGAGATAAATGTCATATCGCAACACACCTTTGATATTCTATACAGTTGTGACGTTGCCTCCACTGTACAAGTTTACTGCAGACTACTACAGATTTCTTGTTACCTTGAAGTATAAAAAATGTGTATCGGACTATAAAATGTGTATTCCTTTTTGACCAAAGCATCAACTCTACGACATCGATTGATTTATCAAAATATCGAAAATCTCTGGGTCTATATAGAAAGTGAACTTACTAGTTATGCATTAAGCAGAAAGGTAGGTTGTAATATGTTGAGCTACATATCTATTTATATGGCAGTCGTCGCCTCCTGTATTCATATTATGTACATAGATAAATAGATTTCATTAACACGAACATAAACTAGAAAAAAATACTCTACAAATAGTTCTACAATAATATCGAGAGCTGTTGACTGTTTATTTATTTAATTTACATCGAAACAAGTACTTGATATTATAAGCATAAGTTAGGTATAGTATATTTAAAAGCAATGGATGACTTATAAGCTATAAAAATATAACATTTTATTTAACGTATTTTTATTTTGTTAAAAGTATGAAGTGAAATAAATATATCTGAGGATATTTAGTAATAGGGCTTAAAAGGAAATTTTAGATATTTATTCGATAAAAAATACTTTATTACAATAAAATTTTACCTTAACAAATAGTCCTTGCAATTATATTGTTTTTTTTTTTTAAGTTAAATGTCGATATAATGTACTTTTTTAATAAATATATTATTTTCTTTTTGCGTGGAATGGAACGTGGAATGGAATTCATGGAACGATAATATTTATATATAATAATGCTAAATGTTTACTATAGGCATTTTTCTTGTATGAAGTTTGCTTTATGTTTTCAAAATTTTGCTGCAAGCGTAGATATCAATCAAATTTAGAAAGATTCCTTATCTATTCTTATAAATTACAACAATTTAGGTCAGACTTTAATACTACTAAAAGCTTTTGCCTACTAAAAGTTTTTTATACTCTTCACGAACCAAAGCAACATCAATTATATGAAAGACGATAAAATTACTTATTCAACTAAGTATTCATTAGTGTTGAAATTAGAACTTAAAAAGATTACTTTGGATTCACAAAGCTTTTCTGGTACTCGAGTACAAAGCTTTTTAAAACGAATTCAGAGGATATTTTTAGATAAATTATATATGTTTATATATTTAAGCACTGACTTTCCGTAAGCGGCTTATACATAGCTAGTTGTTTTCCCGCGACCTCGCACGCGTAATTTACAGCCTATGTCAATCCCCTATGATGTAGCTACCCCTCGGTGAAAGGATTTTTAAAATAGGCTCAGTAGTTTCGGAGCCTATTCTAGTAAATAAACAAACAATCAAATATTTTCTTTATAGCATTATAGTATAGATATAAACCCTCCTCTTGAAATACTCTGTTTCAAAAACTAAAACCCGACTTCTGCTAAATCATGCTCTAAAAAGTTTGAAACAAGAAATTTACTTTTTTACCAATAGCTATATTATAATAAGCGATGATCAATGGACAGCGTAGTCGTATGTCACTGATCACAACAAAACAAACTGTTGTGGCATACGATTACCCTGTCCTTTGGTCATCGCTATTATCTCTCTAGAGGGCGATGCAAAATGTCGCATAGCCTAAAGCACACGGACAACTAAGATGCTTCTAATGATATCTTATTTGTCCAGTTACGATAAGTAGTTTCGAAATTATAAATAAACAATTGAACATACCTGACAAAATCATAATCCTCCTTTTCGTTTCACCTTAGTCAGATAAAACGCATTAAAATCTATTGTGTAGTTTAAAACCTCTCTATGTATAGATACGTGGCGAAGTGAATGGTTGTAAATAGGAATTGTCTCCTATTTTGTATTGAAATATGATAATTTAGTTACTGATATGTGTTAAGAATACTTTAACTCGCCAGAATCCTTAAATTTTCTTGTTGGATACAATGAAGTTTACCAACAATCTGTATAGGTAATTGTTTTGGCATATCATCAGAACCTCCATCAGCTTATAATTGTCTTCACTGCTGGGTCTTCTATGAATTTTTAACACATGAAAGACTAAATATGGAATATATTATTTATACACAAGCTGTGCCCGCGACTTCGTCCGCGTGGAAATAGTCTAAGTTACTCCTTATTATATAAGCTATCTGCCAGTGAAAGGCTCGTCAAAATCAGTCCAGCCATTTAAGAGATTAGCCGAAACAAACTGCTAACAAAAATGTAAAAAAATATAATTAATTTGGTACCATGTAAAAATACAGCGTTTGGTAAAAAGCGGTTAATTTAATATCACACAATACAATTTTATTTATTTGTATAGATAATATTATTTTTCATAGTTTACCTGGACGCCCCAGGTTATTCTATACAATAAGTAGTAGGTTGCGATAATAAAGTGATCTTTAATTATAAATATTTGTACCGTTAATATATTTTTGTAATTAGTATTTTTAAATTACATTATTTTTGGTAGTTAGGTAAGTACGTGATTATGAAAATGTCATAATTTATGGTAGTGTTTTGTCTTTGATCAAACATTTTGTTACATCCGCCGCCCTGCGATGTACGATTATAGTGAAGCGAGGTTCGAAATTACCTAGGGATGGAATATATGAGGTATGTATGAATTTAATCTTGATTTGTGTTTTTAAACAAAAAACACCATCAAAAGAGTATTTTACACAAAAATATTTCACGAAATAATATAATCTAAATTACTCATTATAGAATCTTGAAAAACATTAAAGAAAAGAATTGTCTAGGTGGTTTATGGCCAAATAGATATGAAGTAAATGCCACTAATAGATAAAATTAAGAAAATTGTGGCTGGGTTGAGATACGTTTTGTTGTATTTTTGGCGGAAAGTCAAATTAAGTTTGTTCTCAAAACATTTTTGTATTTCTAGCTAGTAAGTTTTCAGTTTACTTGATTTATCGGAAGGAATAAACCCGTAGGTGGAGCCTGTTGCCAACAGTTATGAGTCACTCTGACTTTTTAACGTAAAAAAGTAATGTGTTCCAAAGCACGGAGGACCTTGAGGTAGGATTAGTAAATTTTTTGTCAGCAATCCTATGATCAGCCTTTATGAAAACTGCTTAAATCCGTAGCGCCGACAAAAAAAGCAAGTATACTGAATCTTTCATGCTTTATGTCTAATAACAGATTTCAAAAATTTACCTAATCTCATAGGTAATTAATAATTCACCTAAACTTATTAAAGCGTCTAAAATTATCATCTTGACTTCTTTTAAATTACTTACAAAAATAAATTAACGAGACATTATACAGTTTTTAATATTTTACCGTAAATTCGATCACTACTGTGCAATTGTTTATTTTACATGTTTATTCAGTTTCAAGCGTCGAGATAACTATCGAGTTTTCATTGAGAATATCAATTTCTATGCATGTAATGTCAAAATCTCACTTATCTTAGTTCAATTCACTCCGTGTCCGACAGTGAGGCGCTAGCGGCGCTAGTTATACAGTATACGAAATTTGAATCTAACTACGGATCTAGATTTTCCGATGTTCGAAATGAGTTTACAGAATCGCATGGCTGATCGTAAGTAGATGTTGTCTAAGATGGTATAAGCCTACCCAGGAAGTGCTTATTCACTCTGGCTTTGAAAGTTACCTATGCGATTTAAATTCGCTCGTCACCTTTTTTATATATTTCTTATGGACATTAATGGGCTGGTGATAATAATGGAAAAAATAAACGCAAAATAAAACCACTTAAATAAAATTATAATTATGCAATTATATATAAAATCACTTATGTAAAATTGTAATAATGCCTGTAGTGTCATCATTCTTTTCGACGAGCTTGAAGTATCAATACAAAAGATAAGACAATTCTATATACACAATGTTGCCTCATTTATAGGGTTGCCATTAATCCCGATACATCGGGTCTGACATTGCTTAGAAATATTCATGTATTCATTTATAACCCGAAGTCCTTCCTTATGTTGAATATTTTAATTTATATAGATATTTAATATTTTTAGTGTTACCTATTGTATGAAAATATCATTACCACTAAAAAGCATGAAATAAATACTTTTGGGAACAAATAGAACCGACTTCAAACTTAAAAAA